AAAAAAAAAAAGGAAGAGAAAAAGGATGAATTGGATGTAAAGACCATCAAAAATTACATCGCTATTTCTGCGGTTCTGCTGTTTGCTGTGATGAAACAACTCGGGCAGCTACCGCAGCCAAATATTTTTGATGATCGGCATTTGCCGGTATACCGGTGGACACAAACGAAAACGGTGACGACTGATAGGCCAACATTGTCCGAGGATCCGGAATCCGGGCTGCTGGAAATGCATCGCTGATACGAGGATTCATCTGTGTTGCCGACGTATACGGTAATGCTCCCGGTGTACGTATCATCCGCGGTAATGGCGGAACCGTCGGCGGGATAAACGGTGGCTGCACAAATGGTGCAGGGGTTAGGAACGGCGGTGCGGTAAACTGCATCGACTGATACGTATTGCATCCTGGATGCCGTTTGAACCTAAAACACCTTCCATTAATCTGGCTGTTTTCCTAGTTTTATGTTGTTGTTTTAGAGTTTTTTTGAATACAACTGTAACTCAAAAAAAAGAAACATGAGTGGTAAGAAGTTTGCTGTTAATATTATTGTTTGAGTTGGTGGGGGGGAAAGAAAACTGAAAATTATAAATGATTGATATTCAAAAAATTCAGTTCTAAATTAATTATTCTCTATTATTTCATGTCATTAGTATCAACAGCAACATTTGTAACCGAAGTGTAAAAGAAAAACAGAAATGACAAATAAAAGTTGATACACAAAATAACCTTTTTCTTCGCCGTAAAAACGATCCATTGTCAAACATATCTTCTGCTTTTGGATCTAATGCCCAATAGTTACCTTTACCGGGATTACCAGGTTCACGTGGAATTTTCACAAAACAATCGTTCAGACTCAAATTATGCCTAATTGAATTCTGCCATGCAGGAAATTTGTCTCGATAATACTAAATTAAAACGTAATTAGTATTGAGTTTGTCTAATTTATACCGTTCATATGCTTATCGTTTTTAGAGAAAGCAAAATCTATAGTATAAATTAGTGTAATGAAGAAGCCGTGGTTTATTTGCAAAATTACGATTTTTTGTAGCTTTATTTTGCTAACAAAATCATTTGTAAAAACGTTCTTTTTTTTGCATCAAATCTCTTAAAACAGAAACGTCCCCCCTTTGATCAACCACACTTTAAAGCTCACTTTTTTCTGTTTTATTGGCTCCCGCAGTTAAACAGCGGCAAAACTGTTTGGGTACGATAAAGGGCATATTTGTAAAGGAATAAATTTTGTGTAAAATCAATTTATTTATTTTTTTAAACTCAACAACAAAATGTCTTTAATAACAATAAAAAACAAATTTAAAAAGCAGACCGCCGACACTGTCGGGAAGATTTACCTGAAACCGGTTGTTAATAAAGTCACAAATTTGTGAAAGTGTTAGCTTTTTTTCCGGACTATTTAGAATAGCCATCGCAATCAGTGCAATATATGAATATGCAGGTTTTGTAGCTCCGGATTTTGAGCGACCACCATGATTTGATGATGTACCACTAAAATTAATGCTTGTTTACTTCCTTCACTTTCCCGTTTTTCAATTAGTTTTGGTAAAATAACAGATACAAACAGTTGTAAACGCTCTCTTGTTTACCCGGAATTTTGAGATGGAGTTTCTTCATCGCCAGAACTACTGTCCAAATTATCATAGCCACTTGAATGTAGTCGCTTCCTCGAATAATTCTAAAAAAGTCGCATTAACGTATTTATTTTTCAAAAACCAGCAGGTATGTGCATTATTTGATGTTAAAATACCTGTAAATTTTCATTAGCTTCCTTAATTGAACAAGGACCAGCTGCAGTACACTTTTTGGTCTCTGAATTTTTGTCAGTAATCTGTCGCTCGTCTTGTGTATCACTGGACGACGGTTGTTGACCATCAACCGTCGTTCTACTAGAGCAAGCGTCTGAACCGCAAGTTTCATCTTTGGTACTCGAATTTTCATTTGTTAATGATGAACTTTCTGGCCGATTTGGGCTTTCGTTCGCCTAGAAAAATACTTGAAAATTTAGATTAAAGTACAAAACGCTTAATGTGATACCGTATGGCAAATAATTAATGAAAAATTTGTTTTGTTCGCGACAGTGATAATTGTAATTTTTGTATGTTTTTAAGCGAAAATGGGTGAGCATATGCGAAGTCAAAGTGTCAACCTCAACTCGAACTTTTTCATAGGATGGCTCTAAGCTCCAACATTTTTCAAACAATTTTGATGATGATGGACCATCCTCTTCTTCAGTTTTACTTGTTTCACTCAGTGTCCGTTTCCGGGATTTATTTGCCGTACTGGCTAAAGAAGCAGGTCGATTTTGATGCAGTATAGCGTCCATCGAAAAGCGCATCCTTCCGTTCATAAAGCGTAAAGCATTCAAAAGCAGTTGCTCATAAAACAAAAAAATCTGTAACTAATAAAAAAGTTTTTTTTTTTTGTTTTCAGCTGATAATAAATGTTGAAGTTGATCGTAGCACAGCAGCACAAAAGTGTCATTTTACAACGCTTCAACCAATGCTTTAAAAATACATTTACAGCGCTATAATAAATATAAAAAATATTCAACAGATTAGGTAAACAATGAGCCATAAATGACAATAAAATAAAAACTGACTACTAATTCTCTTTTTTTTTTGTTTTGAAGGCACAAACATAAATAACAGAAAAATAACTATAAATGTACATGTGAATATTTTTTATGAGCAAAAAAAATTATATTTTTAGATTAAAAGCGACCAAAAAAAGGAGAAGAGGAAAAAAGAAGAAAGAAACACGCTTTGTCACAGTTTTTATTGGATTTTTTAAATATAGAAAAAAAGAAAAAGCAGTTTGGAATTTTTTTTCTAAGAACAACAAATCAACTTCTTTTTTTTACTAAAACCAAAAAAAAGCAGAAAGATCACTTTTAAAATTGGACTCTTTAACAGAGTTTTTCCAAAATTGATGGTTTTTGCAACAATAGATATCCGTTGAATGTCGATTAATTTTAGCAGATTTAAGTCAGCTGAAGGTATGCTTATTTGGTAAAAATATAAAATATAAAAAAATGCTCTTCA